TGTGTGTGTGTGTGTGTGTGTGTGTGTGTGTGTGTGTGTGTGTGTGTGTGTGTGTGTGTGTGTGTGTGTGTGTGTGTGTGTGTGTGTGTGTGTGTGTGTGTGTGTGTGTGTGTGTGTGTGTGTGTGTGTGTGTGTGTGTGTGTGTGTGTGTGTGTGTGGTCCAGGCTAAGAGCAGCTGCTTATGGAAGGATGAAAGTTTTACTGGAAGTTTCTCAACATTGTAATTACAATTTAAATGAAGTTAAAGCCCCAAAGTGCAAGAAAACATGAAATGTTGTTTTCATTCAACCTTTATTTATTCAGGTTAATCTCATTTATGGTCTGATGTTCAGATACAAGTCAGATCCTTAAGAAAGTGTTCCGCCCAGTTCATTTCAAATGTGCTCTACAGGGTAGAGACATCCAGAAGATGAAGCCCAGCCGACTCTCAGGTTTTTAACAACACGTATTCTATATAAAATGTAAAGGCATACAGTCAATATCTTCACTCATTTTATTATCTAAATGTAAGGAGAGAGCATCCATCCAGCCATCCAGCCAGCCATCCAGCCATCCATCCAGCCAGCCATCCATCCATCCAGCCATCCATCCATCCAGCCAGCCAGCCATCCAGCCAGCCATCCAGCCATCCAGCCATCCATCCAGCCATCCATCCAGCCAGCCATCCAGCCATCCAGCCATCCAGCCAGCCATCCAGCCATCCAGCCAGCCAGCCATCCAGCCATCCATCCAGCCATCCAGCCATCCAGCCATCCATCCAGCCATCCATCCATCCATCCAGCCATCCAGCCATCCAGCCATCCAGCCAGCCAGCCAGCCATCCAGCCATCCATCCATCCATCCATCCAGCCAGCCAGCCATCCAGCCATCCAGCCATCCATCCAGCCATCCAGCCAGCCAGCCAGCCATCCATTATCTTTTACCCGCTTCTTCCATTTTGGGTCATGGGGGTCGCCAGTGCCCATGTCCAGCAGTCACTGTGCGAGGGGCGGGGGACACCCTGGACAGGTCTCCAGTCCATCACAGGGACACATAGAGACAAACAACCATTCTCTCTCTCACCTCGGGACAATTCAGAGTTACCATCAGCCTAACATGCATGTTTTTGGTCTGTGGGAGGAAACTGGAGTCCCTGGAGAAAACCCACACATGCACGGAGAGAACATGCAAACTCCACCCAGAGAGGCCCCCGGACCGGGATTTGAACCAGGGACCTGCTCGCTGAGAGGCAGCAGCTCTGCCAGTTGAGCCACCGGTAAGATCAGTCCTTATTAACCAGTTGTGCACCGTGCTGAGTTCTAAGGAGAAAGCAGCACATGTGAATCGAGATGATCCTTCAGCTTCAGTGGTCAGTAGAGAGAAGTCCCTCTGCAGCCACTGGATGAGTTTAATTTCAGTTTTCTGTAAAATTAGAGGAGCATCTTAACTTCTGGTCTTTAGAGATTAAAAGTCCTAAATAGGTGACTTCTCGTTTAACAGGGATACTACAAATAACATTTGCTGAACAGTCTTCAATTGTTAGTAATTCACTTTCTTTAATGTAATCATAAACCAGAGGCCTTGGAAAAGTCCCTAATCACACGTAAGGCAGGCGGATCTGGTGTTCCTTCAAACAGTGGTGGTGTCATGAGGCAGCGGGCTGGTTCTAAGCTTTCATCAGCTCTGCTGATTCCTTGTACAGTAAAACAGCACTGACACAGGAAGGTGTCAGATTCCAGACGCCGTACACCAAGATAAAAATCTTCTGCGACTCTGGAGTGAGGACCTACGAGAACGCAGGCGAAGCAGCGCTGAAGAGAGGCTTCAGCTTGACCTGGGGACAAACGAGAACAAGCTAAAGGCGACCAAGGAGAGGCTCGATGCGCTGTTACCATGGAAACGGGTTAACAACACCGGTGCAGGACAACAAGTTCACGGAGTTTAGACATGAGGAGCAGTGACACTGATGACCACATCGCAGGAGGAGGTTTGATTAAAACAAACCAAATAAAGATGTTTGACTTTAGAGCCTGACTGAACTCCGTTTGGAGAACGACCCCCCTCTGCTCCTGAAGTGACTTATTATACGTCTTATGAATTCATACTGTATATGTAAGTAAAACACCGAATGGAGTAGAAGTTGTAGTGCACGCCAAATGTTGGACTTATCAGTGGATCCTATTCTACTAGAGAGGCCCCCACCTTAGTGTGGTCTTCAATACATATACAACAAACAGTAATAAATACCAAAACTCCAGAACAAAAAAATTTAAATTGGCACTTGAAGAATTCAGATTTGTTGACGTCTGGAGAGAATTATACCCAAATACTATGGATTATACCCATTACTCAGCACCCAGTAAAAGTTATTCTAGAATTGACTATTTTTTCATGAATAGCTCTGACAAGGTAAAAGAATGAAAAATAGAAGAAACAAGTATATCTTTTTGTTTTCATTCAACCTTTATTTAGACAGGTAATCCCATTGAGCCTCGAGGACTCATTTACAACAGAGACCTGATTTAATAAAGAAAGATGACAACAATGGACAACAGCAACAATAAACAGTTATAAAAAGTCATACAGGTTTTTTACAAATGAGATGCAAAAAAAGTAACAAAAAACCAGCTAGATTATAAAGTGAATGTAGAAAACTAAAGACAGGAACATGTCTGCGTTGGTCCCTGCCAGGAGTCCAACAGGTTCTTAAAGACACTTAGAGAGGTCACCTTAATATTACCTTAATATTAAAACTAAATTTATCTTCTAGAAAATGTACCACAGCATGGCGATTAAATGTGGGTTTGCTGAACCATAAAACATCAAAGCTGGGATTACGGATGATATAAAAACTTATATAGAAGAGAATGATAATGGGCAGGTAAACCCTGTGATTTTATGGGACACACTTAAGGCAGTAAAAAGAGGTAAATTGATATCAAAAACTGTGGCCTTTAAAAAATCCAAAGTAGAAGCCTATGAAAAAGAGAGAGCACAACTAATAGAACTAGAAAAACAACACAAATTAACCCAAAATCCTAATCTGGTTCAAAAAATAAAAGAACTAAGAAGCAACATTGATAAAATATTAACATATGAAATTGAAAAGGAATCAAAATTTATTAGACAATCATATCATGAAGTGGGACCTAAAGGAACAAACTGTTAGCTAAAAATGTCCTGATGCATGCTCAATAATCGTTTTTCCAACGTTGAGCTGCAGCTGGTTCTGTCCACACCACCTCTGTGTTCAGCTTCCTGGTCACCAGTGCTGCAGCCCACAATG